CAGAACCTGTGTGCCTCCTCAGTGGAGTCTGCAGTGCGGCCTCTGGTGGGGACTCAGGGTTGCTGCCATGACTCCAGCTGGAGACGTGAGAGCAAGCAGCCGCTTTTTCCCTTTTTAGAAACGCGCGCATGTGTGCATATGTACATGTGGTGGGTGTGCTATGAGGACCTTGGGCATGCCAAGCCTTAACTTGCTGGACACTCCGGCCATTCCTCTGGTTTTTGTTGCTTTGAGGCAGGCTCTTGCGGTTGCTGCCGCCTCATGCTTCCCATCTCTGGAGATGGCGAGTGTCTGCCACTGCAGCCTTCCAAGTGAGTGAGACAGTGTCTTGAACTTCCATGCCCAGCTGGCCATGAGCCATAATCCATCTTTGCCTCCCAGTAGTGAGGACAGCCTGAAGCCACTGTGTCTAGCTCCGAGGAGCTTTTTATTTTTTTTCTTTTGCTGGTCCTGGGGCTTGAACTCAGGCCTGGGGCTCTGTCCCTGAGCCTCTGTGCACTCTGCCACTTGAGCTACAGTGCCACTTCTGGCTTTTTCTGTGTATGTGGTGCTGAGGAATTGAACCCAGGGCTTCGTGCATGCTAGGCCACTAAGCTACTTTCCCAGCCCTCCAAGGAGCTTTTCAAGACACTTACTTTAAAAACCGTCATGAAAAACATACATTTTTGAGATGGCCTTGCCATGTATTCCCGGCTGGCTTCCAGATCCTGTTTTAAGTGCTGTCTACAATCCTTCCACCTCAGAGGAGCAAGATCTGTGCTGTGACCCAAGGCCATTTGCCTGCAGGGGAACCATCCTTCTGGCATTCTGTTTACCCATGCTGGGTGGTGGTAAGTGTGGACACATACTGGCTGTCCCTTTCCCGTTAGTGGGCAGAAAATTACTTCTGGTTTTGCATTTGGGGAACAAAATCACTACAAATGTTGGTGTGAACACAGGTTTTCATCCCCAGGGACGGCAGACCTGCTATGTCACCCTGCAGAGTGCATGTGACAGAAGAGCCTGCCAGCTTCCCAGTGGCTGCACTGTTTTCTCTTGCTGCCTTGGGTGGGGGTCCCACACGGGTGCCACTGGCTGCCCACCTGAGGCAGTGGCTGTCCACAGGCTGTGTGGGGTCATGGGAGACAGGAGGAGGACCTGGAGCAGCTGGCCAGAAGCACAGGCCTGGCAGGGGACTCCACAGTCACTATATCATCAGTGTGGACCCTGTCCCCCACATCTTTCACCTAGTAGATATTCCAATAGGCCAAGTCTAGGCACTGCCCCAAGCAGGCAAGTCTCAGTACCTACTGGTAAACTCCAGAGGTTACAGAAGGCAAACTTGGACCTGGCGCCCCTCACCACCACCACCTACCTTCACCTCTAAAACTGTTTCTGCTCCTGATAGCACCTATTTGTGGCCCTTGGAGGGCTCAGCCATGCCTCCATGAAAAGTTATGACCTGAGGTGATGGGCAGCCTGGGACATTAGGAAAGAAGCTCAGCCAGGCAATGGCAGGCACAAGGAAAGTGCAAGGCACCATGCTTGACTAAGGAATATGGCAGGAATTGAGGAATGCGGACAGGATGTGCGAGTGTAAATTCACTCACGTGTGCCTGTTGCACGAAACGCTGAGCAAGTTCAGGGCTGGGGAGGGTGGCAGGGGGTGGCAGGAGCCGTGAGGACTGGGAACCGGGCTCTCCGCCTGGAAGCCCTTGTGTGAGACACTGGCCACGGGGGAGCAGGTGGGATGGAAGGGCTGAAGACCCGACTCGGATCCTGCCATGTGCTGTTGGTCCCACTGAGGTGGACACTGCCTCAGATCCCACCTGTCTGGCTGAGCCCTGGAGTTCTACTGCCCCGAGTTCTTGGGACTCTGTGGATGTTAATTCGGGCTGCTGCTGTTCCCACCTGGGTGCCCAGGTGGCAAAGAAGCCATGAAGAGATGGCCCGTCCTTCCTTAAGGCTCCCTGGCACAGCCCCTCCTGTGGCCTCCGACTCAAGGAGGGCTGGACAGCATCTCATCGCCATGGTGCTGCTCTGTCCTCAGGGTTCCACAGTTCCATTGGAAGGCAAACTCCCACAGGGTGCCGTGGACACGGGGGACACGGTGGGTGGCTGGGTAGCCTCTTCTCCCAGGGTTTTCACAGGACACTCTAGCGTCTAGTCCTCAGGGCAATGGGGCGGGGGCGCAGTGGTGACAGGGGCATTGCGAAGTAGCCCTCTTCGTGCTGGCTGTGCCCTTTCGTCCCTCTGATGACAGTAAGGATGATGATGACCACGTGTCCTCTGGCAGACGGCAGGACGACGTGAAGGAAGTCCAGGCACAGGCATTCTAAGGTCCCTGAGAGAACCGTGCTGCTGCTGGCAGGAAGAAATGCCAGTGACTCCAGGAAGAAGGGGTAAGGGTCTAAACCAGAGTGATCACTTAATACAGGGCACCAAAGTCTGGGTAAAAGGAGCACTGGCCGGGTGCTGGTGGCTCACGCCTGTAATCCTAGCTACTCAGGAGGCTAAGATCTGAGAATCGCGGTTCAAAGCCAGCCCGGGCAGGAAAGACCGTAAGACTCCTATTTCCAATAAACCCTAGAAAACCGGAAGTGGTGCTGTAGCTCAAGTGGTAGAGCGCTCACCATGAGCTGAAGAGCTGAGGGACAGCGCCCAGGCCCAGGGTTCAAGCCCCATGACCGACAAAAAAAAAAAAAAAAAAGGCACTGCCCTTGGGGGTGCTTGACACATGACCAACCTGCCACATCAGTGCTGGGAGGGGAGGGGAATTTGGCTCCAAGTGTTACAAGACGCAGCGTGAAAGACCCAGAAGGTGAGACTATCACTTTCTTAGCTTTGGAAAACTGACGTCTGGATTTGCTGTTTGTTGGTTAGATCAGGCCAGGTGACTCTGGAATAGTAAGCCAGCTTGAAAATGCAAGAAGGGATTTTTGGCTCTTTTCTGAATTATGTATCGTGGGATCCCAGTGAGAGAACCACGCCCACGGAGTGCATGGTGGGGCAGGTCTGGCGGCCTGTGTCCCAGGTCCCCAGCTCTGGGTGCGGTACGTTTCTGAGCACTGCAGGGGGCCGCACTGAGGGCAGCACTCTCCCAGAGGATAGATCTCTCTTCCTGGCTGTCTCCAGCCTTTGGAGGCAGGGAGGAGGGTTCTTTGGGTCACCAGCCTGTGTCCTGATGGATTTACTCTTCGGCTGCTGCTCTGTTGGGCCTATGTTCTCATTTGCCTTGGGTCAGGCAGCAAGTGAACTTTAGACTTTATAGTGCTAGTTTGCCCATAGGATTATATCAACTGCGTGAACAGTGTAGTGGAGTTCAGCTGCCACAATCCTCAGCCAGCCTGGTATCCTTGGTCCTTTGAATCGTGGCCATTCTTGGGAGGTGGGGGCAGTGGGTAGCAACAAGGAGACATCCAGGTGATAAGAGCTGGAGGCTCTGGGAGCCCATGAGCATGTCTCCTATGCCTTGCTGGGTTACAGTGACATTTTGGGGACTCAGTGAAAGATGGAAAGATCAGAGAAGCCATACTCTCACAGACACAGGGGGTCACAGCTGAAGGGTACTGGCCAGGAGAGCATGCATATGTAGTCGTGGCTGGAGGCCAGGCCCTGCTCTATGGTTGTAGAGCCAAGGAGTCTGAGCAGGGCCTGAGGGCATCCTGTCCACCCTGTGTGTGGAACGTAGTGCATGGAGGACCTCCCTATAGAACAGGGGTTGCTGTAGATGGTTTGGGCAAATACTACTGATTTTAGCCAAGGGAATTAGTCAGCATGAAAATCTCTGAAGACTGAAGATCGAACTTTTCTCAAGAAATACAAATGGGAGTTTGAGACAACTTGAGCAACATTAATGGAGGCTTGAAGCACTGGATTTCTATGTTAGCAAGTGCACACAGCAGAGGAAGGTGGTGTTTGGGAAGAGGGGCAGGGGGCAAGCCAGAGGGTTCCAGGAGCAGCCTGTCTCCCTGATGACCACGGTGTGGACCCTGAAGCCCCAGGCTCTTCAAGAAATGCACTTTCCCTGGAAAGTTGATGCTGCACATAGGAACACAACTAACTGAGCCCGCTCTCTCTCTTTCCTCCCCCGCCCCGCTGCTAGATCCCATTGAAGGAAGGGCTTTAAACAGAATCCTGGGCTGGCCTGGGCTTGCGTGAAGAGGCTGACGTGAACTACACGACGCGAGGGCCGGGCGGGAAGGGAGAGTGACGCGGCCCAAACGACAGGCCCTCTGCCCTGAGGGGCGCCTCGCAGGAGCGCTGAAGCACGGGCGCCCCGCGGCCCGCGGCTCGCGGCCCCGCGGCCCCGCGGCCCCGCGCCGCCCCGGCCCCGCCGCCCCGGCCCCGCGGCCCCGGCCCCGCGGCCCGCCGCCCCGCGCCGCCCCGGCCCCGCGGCCGCCCCCACCTCTCTCTCTCTCCTCGCAGGCCACCGCGACCGCGACCCCGGCTGGGGCGTCTCGGGGGCGCACAGGCCCGGCCGCCGCAAATGGTGAGTGGCCGGAAGTGGCGAGCGGCGTCGTCGCGGGGTCCAGGCGGGCTCGGCCGCCTGCAGAGGGCCGACCGTGGGCGGGCGTTCCACGCAAGGGGCCAATCAGCCACCAGGCCTGCGCACGTCCCTACAAGGTCGCGCCTGGTAGGCTGAGCGCGGGCCAATTAGCGAGGCGCGCGGGCGCGGGGGAAGCTGTTGGAGGCCGAGGTGCACGCCGGGACGGGAGCGGGCCGTGTGGCGCTCAAGCGGCCGGCGCCATGCACGCGAGGGCCGAGCTCGTTCCGACCGTCGCCCTGCCGCCACCAAGCTGCTGTTTGCCCCGCCCCGGGCACCGGGGTGGCATGAACTCTCACCGGGGCGCATGGTGGCGGGCGAGGGCATGACAGGCCGGGCGGGCCCCGCGCCCGCTCGGGTGGCTCGAGGCCTGGCTGGCTGCGAGCACCTGTAGCTCCGGCCGCCGCCGGGGCCCGCGCGTGTGAGGGACCTACCGTGTCACACACCTGGACATGTCCGGAGCGGGCCCTCGGGCATGGACAGAGCCAGGTACGGGCCGCGGCCCCGGAGCCTCCCCGCCGCGGCCGCGGCCTCGCCCGCCCCGAGTCCCGACGCCGGCCTCGCCCCCCGGGGCGACGCGGACAGAGCCCCGCTGCACCCCGCCAGTGCTGCGCCGAGGCCTGACGCGGCTCCCACCCACCTCCCTCCCGCCTGGGGTGTGGGTGGCCCCCGAGCCGGTCCCAGCAGAGCCTCCGCCGGGAGAGCTGAGCTCCGCCGGCCAGAGCCACCCCTGAACAGTGATACTTCCGAGTACTAGTACTTGTGCGGGAAGTTGGGTCCCGGGAGCCGCCCATTAGCTTTGTTGCTCAAGGCGGGCACCTCCACTTCCGACTTCGTGGTGTTAATTGGAGATAAACAGTCTCAGATGTGTCTGCTTGAGGGAGCCTTCGAGCTGTGATCCTCAGATCTCAGCCTAGGATTACAGATAGGAGCCATCAGGGCTTACTGTATGTACCATTTTGACAGAATTTTTCTTTAATATTCCATAATCTTATCGGCGTCCAATAAAGCATCATAGGTGGGTGGTTGGCAGTCCTGTATGTGTGTATTATGTGTGTGTGTGTGTTACTGGAGAGTGAACTCGGCCTCACACGCTAAGCAGTTACTCTGTCTCTAGGCCATGCCTCCGGCCTAAACACAGGTAGTTTTTTTTTTTTTTTTGTCTTTTCTTTTTTTTTGGTACTGGGGATCGAACCCAGGACGTTGCACTTGCTAGGCAAGCGCTTTGCCACTGAGCTACATCCCAGCCCCACAGGTAGTTTTTGAGGTAAGGTTTCACTTCCTGTCTGGGCTCCCACTTGGGCCTCAGTCCACCTTTTAGGGCTCCTGTCGGAGTTAGCATAACAGGCGCACAGCACTGTGTGTTGAGAGGAGGTCCCATGAACTTTTGTGCTCAGGCTCCCTTGAACCACTACCCTTCTAATCATAGCTTCCAAAGTAGGTAGGGTTTACCGGTGTGAGCCACCCATGGCAAGTTCTCTGTAGACTGTATCTCCACCAGATCAAGTGTGAACTGAACCTGGAGTGCATTGAACCCAGTGGGTGTGGAGTACAGCATTCCACAACAGCCAGCGGCCGGGAGCACCGGGCACTGAGTGGGCCCAGGGCTCTGTCCCCTCCTTGCCTTTCCTGGGCTCCAAAAGTGGCCCTTGTGCCCCTAGGCTTCAGTGCTAATAGTTCCAGTAAAGTGGGCTCCAGACCTCACCTAGCCCCAGTCCTAACCTAGCCCCTGACCGGGACAGTCTAAGCCTCCCTGTTGTTTTCTAGGAAGAGCACATTTCAGACCTTCGGGAAAGAAGTGTGCCTCACAGGTCATTCGGTAAGCAAGCCCTTAGTCACTTGTCCCAACCCCATGGGTGGCTGGAGGGGCGGATGAGAGTCTGCGCCACAAGGAGGTGTGTAGTCAGAGGGCCATCGCGGAGCCCCACCCCTTGGGTCCTCACCACCCCACATTGAGTCTAGACACCCAGGAGAACCAGCACAGCCCCAGTGACCTGCTCCAGGTGTGACAAAGGCCAGCCCAGAGCACTGTGGTACAGACCCTTGTGCCCCTAGAGTAGGCTGGACTCTGCCATTGTCTGGAGACTTGTGCATGGTGAGGTGGCGAGCAGTGGCTGACTCCCTCCACGCAAGGTGTGCAGGCTCTGCAACCCCCCTCTAAGTGACTCTGGGCCTGACCAGGGCCATGGAGCCTGTGCCTGTCTGGCTTGTAGAAGGAGCTGGGCACTGCTATTCCAAGTACTGGCTCAGTGTACACACCGCATCAAGCTGATTTGACTCTTCTGGATCTTTCTTAGCTATGCCCCAGCATGCAGACTATTCTCAAAGAGTGCGTCTGCTGTGAATGCCACATCAAATTTGGGGGCCACCTACCTGTGCCCAGGGCCGAGGCAGCTCTGCCCTACTGGGTCCCGCCGTCCCTGCGGCCCCGGAAGCAGGTAGGTGCCATGTCCAGGCTTGACGTTGAGATTGGGTGTCAGGGGACCTGGGACCTCTCAAGCTCCAGGGGTTTTATGAGTGAGATTTAAAACATTTTGGGGACAGTTTATTTATTTTTGTTGGTCATGGCGCTGTTTCTCAGCTCTTCAGCTCAAGGTGAGCGCTTTATCATTTGAGCCACAGTGCCACTGTTGGAGATAAGAGTCTCATAGACTTTTCCTGTCGGGGCTGGCTTTGAACTGTGATCCTCAGATCTCAGCCTCCTGAGTAGCTAGGATTACAGGTGTGAGCTACTCGTGCCTGGCTCATGCCCCACTTCTTATTGGTTGAGATTGGATATTGAGAGCTTCTTTTCTGGGCAGGCCCTTGAGATTAGATCCTCCTGATCTCAGCCTCCTGAGTAGTTAGGATTGCAAGCATAAGCTACCTGCTCGGCTAGTCATTCATTTTCCTTGTTGAGTAGCATTTTATCATATGAATAGATCACAGCTTATGTCTTCATCTGATACATGGAGACTGTTTCCACTTTTTTTTTGGTGCCAGTCCTGGGGCTTGAACTCAGGCAGGACCCGGGCATTGTCTCTCTCTGTGCTCAAGGCTAGCACTCTACCACTTGAGCCACAGCACCACTTCTGGCTTTTTCTGTGTATGTGGTGCTGAGGAATTGAACCCAGGGCTTCGTGCATGCTAGGCGAGCACTCTCCCATGGAGCCCCCTTCCTGGCCTGTTTCCACTTTTATCTGTCCGGTGCTGGGCCCTTCCTGTGCCGCCTCCCTGGTCCTGGGTAAAGCCTCGGCGTGGAGTTGCTGCGTTCTGCTCTCAATGGTGGCACACTTTTGCAAAGCCCCGCCAGCTGTTTGTGGCATGGTTGTGCCTCCCTGCCGGCATGTCAGCAGTTGGCAAGCGTCTGCCTCCTTCCTGCCGCTCCTCCTGCCATCGGCCAGCGTTCCCCTCTGTAGCCTTGGCAACAGGTGCGCCCCTCTTGTGGTTCTGGTTTGAGTTTCTGCCGTCCCTGTGGTGTGGAGGATGTGTCCATGTGCCTTTACTGTCGGCATGGAGTGTTCTGCCCATTTCAAAAGTTGGGTTTTGTGTCTCAGCGTTTTGAGAGTTCTTCATGTATTGTGCACACAGGTTCTGTTTCAGAAGTTCATCTTGTAAACATTTGGCTTGGTTTGCTGTTCTTTACCAGAATCCTGCAAAGAGAGAAGTTTCCAGTTCCGATAAAGTCCAGTTTAGAAGTTTGGTCCTTTCTGCATCTTGCTTAGCTGTCCCCGTTGATCCCTTGGGACGTGGGTGGGCAGGAAGCGGCTGCGTGTGGGCACCCTCAGCCTGCGCTCAGTGGTGCTGCCTTGGTGCCCCATCCTCAGGGCTCAGCCAGGCAAGGCTGCTCTCCTGCCCTCGCACCCAGCCGGGCCTTCTGGCCTGGCCCCGTGCCCCTTTCTGGCTCTGGAATGTTCTGTTTCTTCTTTCTCTCCCACCAGCCGGTGCTGGATGATGAACAGCTGTGGGCAGGAGGGTGCCGTGCTCACCTCTGGCGCAGTGGCTGCTATGGACGGTAGCTCACCGGCGCTGCTGGCATGGTGGGACTGGCCAGGATGGCCTCATCCTGCCAGGGCAAATGGCCCCGAAAGAGCCACCGAGTGTGATGGTTGTCCTACTGTTGAGTCCCTACCAGTGGTGCTCAGCACCCCGTTGTCTCAATGCACTGGCACTGAAATGCAGGTGCCTCCCAGGAGTGCACTGCTGGTCTGCATCCGCTGTGCCCTCAGGCAGGGAGGCCCGAAGCTGAGGACAGAGCCAGTTCTCTTGTCCCTGCAGATGGGGTCCACCTCTGGGCTGCCATGGGTGGGTGTGCTCTTCTATCCTGGGAGGTTGGGCATGTCTGCAGGAGGGCAGAGGGGCCCAGCAGGCCCTGGGCTCAGACTGATGGGGTGGTGTGGGCCGATCCCATTCCCTTTGCGTCTTCTCTTCCCTTCCTCTGGTAGATCCCAAAGATGGCACAGCTTTGTGTCCCCAGAGCTGTCAGGACATGCCCCTGCCCATGCCACAGCTTCGGGGGACGCCTCCCCGCACCTCGGGTTCAGGCTGTGATGCCCTACTGGGTGCCCCGGGGCCTGCGGTCACGGAATAAGGTAAGGAGGTGGCTTACAGGACAGGGAGGGGCTGAATGGCAACGGCCCTCACAAGGCCAGGGCCTCCAGCAGCTGTGGCCAGGCAAGGTTGGAGGCCATGGAAGGTGTGGGCCCCTTTCTCTGGGAAGGTCAGATTGTCGGTCTCCTTCCTCACTGGTCCCCCCCCCCCCCTCCTCCTCCTCCTCCTCCTCCTCCTCAAAGCCGCCTCCTCTTCCTCTCTTACCTTTCCCTGCCCCACTCTCTCTGTTCCTGCCCAGGCTCCTGCAGAAGTTGCAGGAGGAGCCATCTCTCAGATCTTCTGTTCTCTAGCTCTGGTTCTGTCTGGCCATCCTTCCAAGCGATAGTCCAGGGCAGCACTGCCAGGACCTGCCAGCCCGGCCCTCCCCTGCCCTTCCTTCCTCTCCCCTGACTCTACTTGCTGGTTTGCCATCACCAAGGAACAAACTGTCGTCAGCGTGAAGACCTCAGGCTGCCCCCTTTCCTGCGGTCCCCAGTGCAGATCACCTGGCCTCTGGTGGACAGATCCCCTGGTGACAGTAGCTGGCGTTCTTGCCTTGTAGGTGGTGAAGAGGCAGTGGAGTTTTAAAGGCATGAAAGGTAATGGCACCCCCACCCCTCGCCCAGGGAGGGGTGGGCCCCAGGAGCACTGTGGTGCTCCCAAGCTTAGGAGATAGATGTAAGTTACATTTGAAGCCAAGCCCACTCAAGTGAGGAGATAGACAGAATGGGGCGCTGATTCCCAGTGCTTACAGGTGTTTCTTCCCCTAGCTTCAAGCACAAAGTGACTGAAGCATGAGGCATTTCCTTTGGCTTTAAGTCAACTGACTTCTGTGTTTTTGAAAAGTTTATTGTTATAATATTGCTATTATAAATGCTATACAGTGGGGTGACAGTTACATAAGTCAGATAGTGAGTACATTTCTGCTTGGACAGTGTGATTTCTGTTTTAAAGACATTTTTTGGAGGTATTGGATGTGTTTTACCATTGAGCCCTGCCACAGCCCTGAAAATTCATTTTCATTGTGCCGTGGTGCTAAGCAGTGCTCTTCCACCTGAGCCACGGCTAGCCCTTTTGTGTTAGGCTCTTTTTCAGGTAGTCTTGTGGGACCAGCCACCAACTGTGATCTACCTATGTGCTGGCTTACGGTTGTCTGGGACTGAAACCACACTGTATGTCTCAAGCCCGCCGTCTCCATTTGGGTGTGTTGGCAGGCTGGACCACTCAGGTTGGTTCTCAGGCTAGACCAATGAGGTTTGTTGGCAGGCTAGACCACTCAGGTTGGTTCTCAGGCTAGACCAATGAGGTTTGTTGGCAGGCTAGACCATCACACACACACATAGGAGGAGATGCAGGTGTCAGTGTGGAGCTGTGTCTGTCTGTTCCCCTGGAACAGAGCATTCCCACATGGTGCCCCAGTCACAGGCTTGCAAAGCCAAGCTGGTTTACATCAGATAGGGGTCTCGCCATGTGGATCCAGTTATCCATTGTTTTCATTGGATCTTCACCCACCCCTCCCCCTTCTCAAAAACCAAACCCCACCAAAGCCAGGGGACCCATCTGTCAGTTCCAGCGGGACCTCATGTCCTCCAAAACTGCTCAGAGTGCTGCTCTGAAGGGTAGATTCCTGAACGCCGCGGCATGCCACCCCGGACAATGCGACAAGCCGGCCATACTCGCTCTGTCTTGGCCCCCATGGGCTCAGCGTTCCAGAGCCCTACAGGCCCCAGCTCCAGGAGCCCGGGCTGGGTCCTGCCCTGTCCTCACGCCCCTTCCTGCCCCTAGAGCGCCGTTTATTGGAGTCCTCTCTGCACAAGCGCTGGCGGATCTGCGGAGACAGGCGCCTCCTGCTCAAGTGGCAGCATCTCCAGGCCCTTCACCAGGAAAAGCCACTGGCCCTGAGGAGGACAGCCAGCCCGCCCGCCCCACCCCAGCCCCTGAGTCTCAGCTTCCTGACCTTCCTGCAGGCCATCCTGAGGGCGCTGGTGGCCATTCGGTGAGCACCCGGCCTTGTTGCTTCCAACTTGGGCAGGTTGCCTCTGAAAATCAGGTGTAGCAATGCCCACTTCTGGATGCCAGCCCCTCTCCAGAGGCCTTGCATGCCTCACTCACCTGAGTTGTGTCCCATAATGCCTGCAGGAAGGCTTGCTGGCTTTAGCGCCTGGCTCTCAGGGCAGAGGCGTGCCACTGCCAGCTGTTGAAGAGCTGTCTGGCTGCATTGTGGGGAATGTGCAGTTAGGTTCCTCTAGCCAAACACCAGTGTGTCTTGGGCCTGGCAGACATGGGGGCAGGGGAGCCAGTTTTGGGCCTTTCCCATGGGAGCTAGGTGCAGGGATGGAATGGAATGGAGGAGCTCTTGCTTCTGGGGCAGAACTGCCGCAGCCTCCATTCCGTCTACCCCTTCACCAGGCCTGCCAAGCAAGGGTCCCTTCCCTTGCTGGAAGGAAGCTAGCGTCCGCAGGGGCAGCGTGGCTCAGGGCCCCCCTGTTGGGAGTGATGCATCCCACACTGGCTCTGCTGCTTCCATGGCCTCCTCAGCCCCCGCTGCAGTGGGACCCGCCACCCCTGGGTGCTCGCAGGGTCCCCATCTCACTCTGGGGCCGTCCGAGTGCCACTTTTTTCTTTGCTTTCTAGCCAGTTGTTTTGGGTTTGACGTTGGGAGCTCCAGCAAAGGTTGTCACCACCAAGATCATCAGGAAGGCCCCCAGATCAGGAGGAGCAGTGGCGCCCGCCATTTCCCGAGATGCAGTTCACCCAAGGTCCACTCCAGGGCCCATGCCATCACGTGACTCCGGCTTGTAGCCAGGGTGGGGTGAATTCAGATGAGATTTGGTTATGAATGCAGTTAATAAATATTATTTGTGAAACTCCAAATTGGCCACCTTTTGAAACTAATTTTTTCTTTTATGAAGGAGGGACTTCCCAGAGATGGAAGAAGAGGCTCTCCTCCACCACTGCATATTTCCACACTTTGACCCTCCTCCCAAGCTGACTGATCATGGCCCTGGACCAAGGTTTTGTGGCTTTCTAGAACAGTTCCTGGGCCTGATTTGCATGTACCACCCTAATGTCCTTTGGAACCCTGTCGGTAGTGGGGTGAAGGCAACAGCCCTCTCCATATTTGTGGCCTGGCAGAGCTTGGAAAGGCACACTAGCCTTGTACTGGATCAGCTAGGTGTGGCTGTGCTTTAAGGCAGGGCTGCCCGTTCTCTCCATGCAGTTTGGGAGAGAATTTAGTGCTTGAGTCTTGAGGGAAACTGAGGCACAGAGAGGTCAAGCAGTTTGCACTATAGGCTATAGAGAGCTCGTGCGCAGCCCAGGCAGGATTCAAACCCAGGTTGCATGGTTAGAACTAGCCCCCAGCTGCTTCAGGCTCATTCCAGTTCCCCAGGTGTCAGGCCAGAGCAGGAGTTGGGTAGAGAATGTGCAGAGGATTCCTGTAGCATCCAGGCTTGGGTGTGTATGTGGCTGGACTTGTGCAAAGGCAGCAGGCAGGGGCACTGGGTGCAGCTGTCCCCTCCCAGAAAAGGAGGGGCACTAGAAGTGGTCCGTGGGTGGGGGTCCCATGGGCGGCCCTCAGCTTGTGTCTCCTCTGTCTCCACTGTTCGCTGACTACCAAGGCTTGGGCCTGGCACGTCCCAGGAGGCAGGGCAACCCCAGGATGCCTGCTTCTTCCAGCCCACCCGGCCCTCCTGGCGGATGCCATATTGAGCAGAGCTGCCATTGTATGCTGGGTGGCTCTACCTTCTCCCCGCCCGCCCGCCCCCCAGCTGGAGAGGCGTGCCACCCACAAGTTCAGCTCCGCATTAGCACGTCGTCTTTCCCGCTGTCACTGCCCTGTCAGCCACAGTGTGGCACCTCTGCAGTCTCTTGTAATATTTCATATACTTTCAGTCCTAAAGCAAAGGAACTGGCTTTTTTTTTTTTTTAAGGCGGTACGGAGGATGGAATGGAGGCCTTGCACATGCTAGGCAAGAGACTCCCACTGGGCCACACCCCAGCACAAGTGCAATAGCCTTGCACGGTCAGAAACAGGCATTCAGTGGCACATGTGTGTAACCCATGGGCGGACTTCTTCATGCTACAGTTCCAGTCCTCTGAGCCTAGGGCTTGTACTGGCCATTGCCGAGCCTTCCAAGACTGCTCTAGCACCCATCTTAACTTAAAAAGCAAATTTATGTACTGCTTGCTTTAAGGGCTCTTTCCTTTGAATGAGGTCCCAACTGCAGTGGAGAGTAGCAAGTTGGGATCTTTTCATTTTCCCAGGTAAGACAGCCCTAGGGGTGGATCCAGACCTGGCTGCCCAGGACATAGCTGGAGCTAGTTATTTTTTTTCTTTTTTCCTCAGTCCAGGGGCTTGAACTCAGGGACTGGGCACTGTCCCTGAGTTTCCTTTGCTCAAGGCTAGCACTCTACCACTTGAGCCACAGCGCCACTTCCAGCTTTCTCTGTGTATGTGGTACTAGGAATGGAACCCAGGGCTTCATGCGTGCTAGGCAAGCACCTTACCTCTGAGCCACACTCCCAGCCCCTGAAGGTAGTTTCTTAAGGACCTGTCAGTCATTCCTGCTATGGAGTCCCACCTCTGTCACCAGGCCCCGCCCAAAGCGGTGTGTCTGCTACATTCAGCAGCTGTGACATCGCATGGCATTTGTGCGTTGTCAGCTGGTCATGTAATTAAAATGGCATCTCTGGAGCCACCTGTGAGTAGCCAGAGCCCTCTGGACAAGCCTGTCCTTTGTTCTTTGGGGAAGGTCATTTACTCTGGTTTGAACCAAGGAGGGAATTTATAGCTTGTGTATCTGAAGAGTCTAGGGATAGGATGGCTTCCAGAATGGCTTGACTCAGGGATGTAAATGGCGACATCAGGCCCCAGAGTCTCCCTTGTCTGTATTTTGCATTCCTCCATACTGCTTTCACGGAGGCTTTCAAACATTCTATTATTTTGTATCAGTGCTGGAGCTTGAACTCAAGGCTTGGGCACTGTCTCTTAGCTTTTTCACTCAAGGCTGGTGTTCTATCACTCGAGCCACAGCTCTACCTCTGGCTTTTTGGTTAATTTGAGATGAGAGTCTCAAGGATTTTCCTGCCCAGCTGGCTTTGAACTTCAATCCTCAGGTCTCAGCCTCCTGAGTAGCTAGGATTACAGGTGTGAGCTACCAGTGCCCCGCCACAGTGGTTTTATTTTTTTGTTTGTTTTTGTTTTTTGGTCGGTCGTGGGGCTTGAACTGTGGGCCTGCCACTTTCCCTCAGCTCTTCAGCTCAAGGCTAGCACTCTACCACTTGAGTCACACCACTACTTCAGGCTTTTTCTGCTTATGTGGTGCTGAGGAATTGAACCCAGGGCCTCATGCATGCAAGGCAAGCACTCTACCACTGAGCCACCTTCCCAGCCCCCACCGTGGTTTTTAATGTTCACCTATCTAGAGTGGAAGGAGCAGGTGAGGTCTTCCATCATTCAGCAACCACCCTTCAACTATGAGGAATCTGGCAAGAGAATCCCATCCATGCTTTTTAAGAAAAAGCCCATCACAGAGGGAGCCCAGCACTCCCTGACCTTGAGGCCCTGGCTGGGCTTTCCTGCGGAACAAACCCCGCACTTGAGCCTCCTCAGGCGCTGGCTGAGGCACCTGGGGTGTCGGGGATTGGCTGGCCGGGCTGCCTGTGAGAACCAAGGCTGCTCCGGCCCCCAGATTGGCTGTGTACAGCAGCTGTGAGCCTTTGCCGGGCGCTAGACAGGAGAGCGGAGGTCAATGGTAGCTCTCATAGTGGAAGGCAACAGGGGGCTCCCGGCCAAGACACGGAGGAGTTTCCCAGGGAAGCGGCGAGCTGGTGGAGGGTGTCTCAGTGGCGGCCTCGGCCTCCGGTCAGGCTCACGCACAGGGCTCCAGATGCTACTGCTTGACATTCGGCCACAGCAAGGAGACAGCGTCCAGGCTTTGGAAAAATGGGAAGCAGAGAGCCATCGCTCAGACAGAAAAGGCTGCACCCCTGACGCTGCTTGAAGCAACAGAGTTTCTTCTTTTGGTCAGGGAACTGGACAATGTTCTCTTCTTCCCTCACCCCACTCCTCTTCTTCCTTCTCAACCTTTCTTCTTTTTTTTTTTCCTGTTAAGGATCAAACCAGGGCCTCAGGATGCCGGCAGGTATCTGCCACTCGCCATACCCCAGTTGGCTCTTTTCCTCATTCAGTCCTTGCCTAATAACTGTCTTCCCCCGGATTTCAGAGGTCCGGAAGTGGGCATTTCTGGGGCCCAGTGTTCTGCTGACTGAGCATTGAGAAACTTGTTTCAGGATACCCAGCTGGTACGCAGCAGGACTGCGTTCTGTCCCAATCTAATGGGTCTGCGTGGGACCCTGTTCCAGTAGTTCTGTCCTGGTCCTGCTTCAGGGCACACACGTGGAGCACCCCGGCTCCAGTCATGCCTGGGGCATCCAGGCCAGGAATCCCGTGTTCCTCCTGGCCTTGGGCGCCCTGACCTCTGTCACCTGTGTCTACCTACTGGCCCCAAAAATGAAGTCTGGCCTTGGAGCCTCCTGCTCCACGTAGGCCTGTACACAGAGGAGACTCAGCGGCTGCTTTGTGGAGTGAATGAATCCCGTAGCTCCAGCGCTGTGCACACTGTCGTCTCTGGAGCTGGCTCTCTGGGGTGCGGGGTACCCAGGAGCTGGGCCCTTGTGTGGCGGGTGGCGTGGGTGTCCGTCTCTGAGGAAACAGTGCTGTAGGCCTGTGGGTGGCCTCCCCGGCCGCCTCTCTTCCCGTCCTGACCAAGGGCGACCTGAGATTGTACACAGGGGGCCTCATGCCAGGGCTGGGACGCAGAAACCCCAATTGGGGGCCCAGGCTGCGAAGACAGGGCCGAAGCACTGGCAGTCTGCCCAGCCCAGCCCCCCTCCTTGGGGGTTCCTCTGGCCGCTCTCACCCCGTCCCCTTTCTAAGAGCTCTGATACCTGGCTCTGGATGGGGACACATGGAGATGCTGAGCCCAGAGTGGCCATGCCACACCCTAAGCCACACGGTCCGCTCCTGCCACGTGCAAGGCCTCCTGGCCCTTGGCCGCTGTGTGTCTAGCAGCCTGCTCACTCCTCCTCCACGATTGGGTACTCAGGTCCCTCACGTGGGATAAGGTGGGCTCACCACATGGAGTCAGCAGGCTGTCTGGTGGCTCTGCCGTCGGCTGGCGATGCCTGGCAAGGCCTGGCTTGGGCCTGTCCGGGTGGCTGGGTGCTGGTGCTCACCATGCCCGGCCCATGCTGCTCTCTGGCGGGTGTCCTCTTGGGGGTCTGGAAGGCCCACCGGAGTGCTTGGAAACGACCTGGCTCCTTTCGGCATTTTTGGGAGAGACAGCCCTGTTTGCGGGCACCATTCTCACTTTGAAACGACAAACCCTGGGCTGTGCTTGAGCAGGGATGGCGTGGCGCTCCGGAGTCAGGAGAAGGTGCTTGTTTCAGTCCCAGCCAAGCAAGAGTGTATCTTCCAGCCTCAATCCCAGCCCACAGCCCAGAGTGGGGGGTGCAGGGGACCCAAGGGGGCTGCCGACACGGCCTGGGCTTAGTGGGAGGGGGCTGTGGCCGTGGGGACCCTTGCCAGGGTCAGGCTGAGTCACCCATGGAAAGGGACGCTAAGACACCCTGTGTCCTGCATGGAGCCTCCCCGGCTCAGCCTCCAGGGCACTGGCC